CTGAGCACAGTAGGTTTTTGTTTTGTTTTCAACAAACAGTAAAACCTCATTGTTTGACTGTTACCAGAGAAACAGCAACAAGGCACCCAGACTTCAGTTTTCGCCTCCATGCCCGCAGATGGGTCAAGCACAGTTCATCAATAGCTAAGTGTAGCCTTCACAGTTATTTTGGTCTTGACATTTGTCATGTATATACATTTATCCACATTATTAATAGGCTGTAGAATAAGTGCAGGGCAAATTATACAAAGAAAGTCTTAAAACATTCAAGTCGCGATACCCTGAAAAAATGTGTGTCAGAACAGATGTTGTAAACTTTGTGTGGTTAAGTCCCACTTCAGGAACAAAATAAATAATACCGTAGGGTTTGTAACTGAAGGTGGCTTCCTGGAGCCTGAGGAAGCAGTAGTGTGTTTAGGCTGCAGAGGAAGTTCTCACACAGACGCACTCAGGGCAGGCGGCAGTGCGCATCACCAACGCTCGCCCTGGTTAAGTGCTAGACAGCCCTCCACTTCAGAAAAACCACAAGGCTCCAGCAGCCTGTCAGGACTGACTTCTAGCACTCAGATGATTCTTAAGCAGACCAGACCACACCAGTCAGTCCGTACTGCCGCTGTGACATGCAGAGCCGGAACTCTAGCTGGTATTAGATGCATAATTAGTAATAATTACTTTCAAGAAGATAGCTGACTCATGATACTGGGAAGTTAGCAGGACCAGTGGATGCCAGAGAGCAGGGACACAAGCTGAGACCGGAATGGCCTGTGTTCCACTTAGGACATTGTCTGGGACACAGGGAACTTCAGGTGCTGAGGCCACTCCATCCCCTGAAGCACGAGGTTAGTCAGGCCCGCTGCTAGAGATTTCTAGTCGTCTCTGGGCCGAGCTAGTGTTTCGTGATTGGTTCCTTTCTCTTCTCCTAAAAACGGGGTCTCCAAGGCTGCCGGGGGTCTTGAAAAATGTCTCCCGGTGTCTTCGGTGGATGCTCTTGGGAGTCGCTGGCGCAGGTGACTGGATAGAAAGAGTAAAAGCACAAGTGAAATGATGTTCAGGCTCCAAGACGGGACTCTGTTCCTGCTGGGTGTCACTGGGCTGCCTGTCCCTTCTGCTCTGCTTGTCCACTGCACGCTTCCCACCCATCCAACCCTCAGCACAATGCGTGAGTGTCGCAGACAGAAAAGCACGGCCCAACTAGAAATGTTACAGATGTGGCCAAGGTCTAGAGCCAGGGCCTAGATCACTTAGCTGTGCGATACTGGACCAACTATTTCACCTGTGCCCCTCATTTGCTGCATCCCCATCAGGGATGAATACCAGCTTCACAGAACTAGAAGAATTAAAGTGAGAAACTCTTGGTAGAGACCTTTAGAAGATGCAAAGCAAACCAACTGTGTGTCTGTGGTTCCTTTCTGCTAATATGCTTTCTAATGTCCTAAACCGGAAGGGAGCAGGAGTCTGCTAATTCTGTCTACACTGCCCAGATCAGTACCTGGTTCATAGCTAGCAGTCAAGAGGCATTATGCTGACAGGAGAGATGCACATATTGTGATGGCGTGCACTAGACCTGGGCAAACTCAAGCTGGAGTAAAATTTATGTCACCGGACCTCAGCACTTGATACAGAGCTCTAGGTAACTACGGGGGATGAGAGGGAGACACAACAGTCTCTCAGGGAAGAGCATCCAAAGTGGCTATCCACGACTAAGTGTTCAGGTCTGAAATCACCCAAGCAAGCTGCATTATAGGGAGTGAGTACATTTCACGTATACACATATGAATATAGAACATATATCTAACAACAAAGAAATAGAGGCCTCAGATTTAAGAAAGCAGGTGTGTATAAGAGTGTCTGAACAGAGAAAAGGGGAGGAGGAAAATGACAATTATTTTTTTATTTAAAAAAAAAAAGATCCCAGTCCCAGAGAGAGGTAGGTACAGTATCCTATTATGAGCTGAGGAGCTCCTGGCATCTGTCAGCTGCCATGAGAGGCAGAGTCGATGTAATGTAATGCTCTTTAATGTAGTCACACCAGCTACACTGACCACACCTGGGGCAGCCCCATGCCCAGGAAGGGTGGGTCACCACAAAGTGGACTCAGCGAGTTTAGAAAGACCGAGGGGGAGAGAAAACCGATGGGGAGGGAGAAGGGAGGAGATCTGGGAGGAGCTGGGAGTAGGGGATCAAAATAGACCGCATGAAATCCTCAAAGATTTAACAAGACTTCCAAACCTCTGAATAGCTACCTCAGACGAGTTTTGGTTACCTAGAAAAATGTTCCTTGAGAGTAATTAGTGACTCTAAAAGAGCAGAACAGGTTTTTACTGACTACATGGTCACTGATTGCCTGTGTGTGTTCTTACGAGCGTGTGGGTAACTAAGCTCCCAGGAGGCATGTTTTAAGAAAGGATTGGCAGTGAGAAGTATCTGAGTTAGAAGTGAGCTGTCCTGCAGCTCTATCCTTAAATTTACGATGGTTTCCTCAAACAGCCCAAAGAGAAGACTGTCAGACCAGGGAAACAATCCAAGTATAGAGCTCTCTTATAACTATGCCTAATAAGATCCTTTCTACCCTTGAGAAGATCTGTTTTAAAAGCATGATGTCTCTTACTTTGGAGCCCAGTGCTCTGTGGAATAAGCAGACAACATGGTTCATACTGAAAACCAGGTAGGACCTGATGTAACACCTCTGTATTAGTCAATTGTCCAAGGAGAGAGCTAACTGTGCAGGCATACCCCATCATGGAGTGACCAAGTCTCACCTGTTCTAATTTTACCATCGATACCGGATGTCTCATGTAACTGGGGGACTCGGGGTGAATGGCACCGTGTGAGCTTGGCATCCCTGGACTCAGGTTTAGTGAGGGCTGACACTGAGGATCTGTGGAAGGGATGGTGGACAACTTCGGATTGACCATAGCTGCAGGGCTGAGGAGGAAGTGAGCTGTAGATCCTAGGGCGGACAAGCCGAAATTCATGGGTCCGGTGTTTGGGAGCACGCCAGGAGCTGAAGGAATGGGCCCGGGGATCGCAGGAGAATACAGAACTGGGAAGGGGGTCAAGCTTGGAGATGGCAAGAACATGCACGGAACCCCGAAGGATGGCAGCTGACTCGAGGACGGCCCCACGGCATGCGGGGCTTGACCACCCGATAAGAGCATGTTGAAACCATTTAACCCTGAAACAGAAGGAGAGCAAAGTGAAAACCACAATATGAGACTCCTCCAAGGGGGGCCATAATAGATCACTGATGGTCAACTTTCTCCCTGGTGAGGGTGAACATCCTTGCTGTGCTCTACCAGCTGACATTGCTACATCACACGGGTGGCGAGACAGCCAGTCAACCTTCACCTGCACGGCCTTGTGGTCAATGCCTGTGGAGAAGTCTTTTTAATTTCTTTCTCCGCGGATGCATGTGTGAATGTAGGCAGGTATGGTCATGAGAGGAAAACTTTGGGTGTTGGATTCACCTTCTACTCTTAACCATTGCACAGACCAGGTTAGCTGTCCTGAGATCTTCTGGGGATTCTCCTGCCTCAGTTTCCCCTTTTTTCCACAGGAGTGTGGGGAATATGAAGTATACACCACTGTGCCCAGCTTTACATGGGTTCTGGGGATTTGAACTGAGTGTTCATGCTGGCTCAGCAAGCCCCTTACTCACTGAACTGTCTCTGCATCCTCTTGTTGAGGGGCCTTAGGGGGAACTGCGTTGAATCCTACGTGAAGGGGAGAATGCAATTTTGGTGGGGGAAAACCTGATTTTTATTATTATGAACTTCTAGCTAAAAATTTCTATTTTCCTCAGTGATCACAAGCAGCAAATGCTAACTATGAATACTACTTTGGCAATACAGAAAAGCACAGATATGGAGCTGGAGAGATAGTCACTTGAGGAAGTGCCGTATTCAAGCCAGAAGTCCTAAATCTGAGCTCCATAAACACACAAGAAAACCTCCCCAAGTCAGGCATGCTGCTGCCTACTGCGACCTCAGTGTCAGGGAGGTGGCAGTGGTGAGGGATCGGGATGGGGGATGGGACCACCGGCAGGACATGACTCCTGGGGTCCAGTGGGCAATCAGCATAGCCCATTTGGTGAGCTCTGGTCCAAAATCAATTGGCAAAACAAAACCAAAAAAGTGGGTGGTGCCTGAGCAAAGACACCGAGGTTGTCCTCTGCCCGTAACCCAGCCACGTTCCGGAACTCTGTAGATTGGTCTTACCGTCATGCTTAACACTCACAGCCTTTAGAGTATGGGGAGTTTGAACCTGCTTTTGGATCACTTGCTTCTCTGTGAACCAGGCTGGCCTCGAACTCAGAGAGCTGCCTGCTTCTGCCTCCTGAGTGCTGGGATTAAAGGGGTGCGCCACCACTGCCCAGTTGCACTGGTTTTATTAGTATAAATAACTAAAAATTTACTTTTTACTTCAGTCTCACCGGGATTGTCTCTTTAAAGACCATCTACTAAGGTGTCTGCTTCGTAAACATTTTGAGGAGTCCAAGTGTTCCTCTCAGTTGTCTAATAATGGTTCATAATGAGAAATAGTAAAAATTAAAAAAAGCTAAAGAAGCCAACCAAACAATCCCACATTGCACTATAATTTCAATTCTGCAGTGGTCGAGTCTGTCCTTGCTCATTAAAATGTCCTCAGCACTGAGTTGTCCCAGAGTCAACAATCCAAGCGGAGGACATGACAGGCGGTGAGTGAGAAACACCTGTCTCCTCTGCCTGGCAGACCAGACTTAAGCCAGCAAGGAACTGGTCAGAAGCAGTTTCAGAAATTTGGTGGCTGATCTCCATTATCAACTCGATGGAATTGGGAGTCGTCTAGGAGACATGCCTGGGCGTCTGTGAGGCTTTTGCCATGGAGGTTTACCTGATGAGGGAAGATGCTTCCTAAACTTGTGCGGCTCTGGCCCATTGGCCAGGGCCCTGGCCTGAATGAAAGGTGGACAGCCAGTGAGCAAGAGCATTTGACCCTTTCTGGGTCTTTTTTTTTTTTTTTTAAATGTGGAATGCTTCACAGATTTGCTTGTCATCCTTGCACAGGGACTGTGCTAACTGTCTCTGCATCATTATAATTTTAGTACGCGTGTGGCCGAAGCGACCACCTCTGTGGGTCTCACCCGCAGCAGGCACAATATAACTGGCCACTTGGTGCTTCTTTGGCTGTGCCTTCCCAAACCACGAGCCAAAATAAACCTCCCCTTCTTTAACTTGTCCTCAAGTACTTCCTTCTAACACAGAAAAGTAACTAATACAGTATCTTTGTATCAAGAACAACTTTACGCGATACCTTTGTATCAAGAACAACTTAGCATACATGGGATATACCTTAACAGCTGTATACTCTAATTCAGTATATTCAGAATAGCAACAAGATCTACTGAGGCTTAGTAAGTACTGTCACTGTCACCCTAGGTCCTCTAGACTCCTTACATCCGGTTTGGTTTCCTTAGTACTCCAGAGAAGTAGGTGTTACTGTTATTCTTCTACTAATGAGAGTATCTGAATGCTTGCATTAAGTGGTTTATAATCAAGCCCTCTTGTTGGAGACTACGATGACGTACTTGGTACTTCTCGAACTGAAATCAGAATGCTACGTGTGTACAATCAGCCAACACTGTCATACTGTGATTCTGAACCAGTGTTGCTGGAATCAAAAAATAAACTATCTTTTAGATGGGCAGTTTCTTCATCAAATAAAGTGCCACACATTAAAAATGTATCTTATTTACCCTGGTAGCTGTTGAACAGAGGACAGGAGTCTCAGCCTTTGTTTGTGGCAGCTGGGAGTGAGACAGGTGCAGCACGACAATTAACTGCTCTCTCTGGTCAGGTGACACAGGCAAGGCTGGGGACGCATGGTGTGAGCGCACGAGGAATCCCTTACCTGCTGGAGAATGCACGTACAGATACTGCAGCAGGGAAGGGTCTTTGGCGATTTCGTTTTCGCTTGGAGGCTTCTCAGTGTCTGGATTTCTCGACGGGTTTCCACACTCAGAAGCAAGGAAGCAGCAGTTTGCCACGGCCTTCCCTGAAACTTCTTCGGCAGCCGGGAGCTGACCCTTCACACAGGCGGCTTCCATGGGTGTAGATCTCCCGTCTCCCGTGGTCACAGGAGAGGCGATGGCTGTGGAATTTGAGGGTCTCTAAGAACAAACCACAGAGCAGAGAAACCAGGTCAAAATTCTGCTAGATTTCTACTAACTTTCCACTTTACAAGAGTTCTCTTAAAGTATCTAGCATGTAGAGGAGAGAACAGCCAGGTGTCGCTTGAATTAACAACTCAGTTTTGTTTTTTGTTTTGAGACAGCGATTTTCTGTGTAGCTGTTCTGGAACTAGCTCTGTAGTAGATCAGGATGGCCTCAAATTTACAGAGATCCACCTGCCTCTGTCTCCCAGAGTGCTGGGATTAAAGGTGTGTGCCACCATTGCTCAGCCAGTTTTTATTCTATTTTTGGTGCAGCACAGAAATGGATGTGTATGTGTGGGTTTATGACTCCCAAGTACAAATATGGTAGAGGTTACGGCAGTGCTAACGTGGCCATGGCGTTCGGCCTATGAAGGAAACTCTGCTGTGCTGGTAACCCACAAGGAGTGTTGGACCTGCACTCCTAAGGCAGTGGTTCTCACCCTGTGGGCTGTGACCCCCGTGGGTCAGTTTGTAACAATGGCTATACATCCTGCGTGTCAGATACTTATTACACTACAACCCATAACAGTAGCAAAATTACAGTTATGAAGTAGCAATGAAAATGGTTTATGAGGGAGGGAGGGAGAGAGGGAGGGAGGGAGGAAGGGAGGAAGGGCCGCCACAACACGGTGTCGGGAAGGTTGAGAACCACTGTTTTAGGGGCTTTTAAGACGTGTGTGGGCTGGCCCAGAGCTGCCTTGCTTGTCTAAAACAAGTGCTTGTCAGTCTTCCAGGTTTTTTTTTCTCCTCCAGTTTTCAAATAAAAACTTGATGTCCTTTTTGCTAAGTTACTTCTTTGACAATTTCACACAGGTATATAATGCATTCTGGTTACTCTCTCTTCCACCTGCTGGTATCAACTCTACCCACTCCTTACACTTCTAATCTGCAATGTTGAGCTATACACAAAACCAGAAAAGCCCATTTTGGTAAGGGAAAGAAAGGCAGAGGGGAAGGGGCTTAATTAATGCAGCAGTTCCCACGCATCGTGCCCGGCCGACCCATGGCAAGCTGCCGAGAGGAGCTGGCGCTGCTCTTCCAGCCTTTCTGGTCACACACCTCGTTACCTCTGCTTGGCTACTCCATGGGGGAATGCAGACGCTCATCTCTGTGTCCTTTTCCTTCTGTAGCTAAGGAACCAGGAGCACTGGGCAGTGCAGGGAGCTGACCCAGCCCAGTCCCGGCCTTCCTGACTCAGGTGCCCCACTATTTCTAGGCCCCAAATGATGACTTGTTATGATTCATAAAAAGACAAAAAAAAAAAAAACCCAACAACAAAAAACAAAAACCCATTGGGAAGAAATAATACAAACACACAAACAACGATTGCTATCCTGTATTATCAGGCAAGCTTTTTATCTTCTGTAGACTTTCTTTTTTAGCATTTTATAAGAAGTGTGACTTCTTTTTTGCTAAAATAAAAGTTACATTTCTTACAGTATTATTTTATGGTGAGACTTTTTGGGAAAACCAGTCTTGCACTTTGTTACATATATGAGGAACACATGAAATACACTTCTAGTCCAGAGGCTACTGCCTAGGAGCATCTGTCTCCACTAATCTCAGAGCCAGTGAGATGGCACATTTACCCACATTCCCTTACCTTGGGCATGACTAGGGATAAGGGGCTGTCTTCAAATTCCTGACTTTGTCTTTTCACAGCAGGTTCATCCTCCTCCTGGGGATTCCTCTCCTCACAGAGGCGCTTCTGAGCAGAGGGTGCCAGTGACAGGTCAGTTGGGACTTCTGAGCTACTGTCCTCCTCTGATCTTGACTCTGGGGACAGTCCCTCCTGCAGGCTCCCACACAGCATGATCAGGGAGGAAGGCACATACACCAGGGGCTGGCCAGCAAGCAGGGCCGGCTTCAAGCTGTCTGCATCTGAGGCTGCAGAAGGAAGGCAGCCACCTACTTGTCCATTCAGACCATTCTGCGTGGAGAAGGCCTGCAAATCCGTTTGAGCAACAGAAAATACTGGATGGGCTAAAGGCTTGACACAGTATTCTGAGTCAGCAGGGAGGGCAGGGTCCGAGCTGCTTGGTGGAGGTGCCGTGCTCTTACTGGCGAAGGCTTCCCCCCTGTAATAAAGAGAAACAGTGAGGACCACAAGTCTCCGAGCTCTATCACAGCCTCCGAGCCCCTGCTTTCCTCATGAGAAGTAAGGGAGGACTGCTCAGACAACCTGAGTTGCCAACTTGGGAAGAGCTGTTGGGCTCTTAGACCATTGGCTGACACTGGTTCTTCCACAGCTAATGGTTATTGAGGATGAAGCACCTGGCCCTTAACAGACACTACAGTCATAGCTATGTGCATTTCCATCTACTGATGAGGAGAACCCTAGCCAAGCTCAAAGTTAATCCACCCACTATAGTTCTACAGACGTGAAACTGGGCCTCACTGCAGGTCTGTTTGAGGGCAAAGGCCAGGTTCCTTGTTACTAGGAAGACAGTACGAGTAGAGGGGAGTCTGGGCCAGACTGATGGAAAGGAAAGCTAATCTAGTTTACCCATAATTCAATGTGAAAGAAAGAGGGTAGTGAGGAAGTCACTGGCTTGGAACTTGGTTATTCTCCTCTCAATTTGCTCAGTAATAATGAAGAATGAATGCCAAGGCAGTCCTCATTCAAAACTAAGCCCCTGATGAGATTTTTTAAGTTTTTGGGATATATATGTGTGTGTGTGTGTGTGTGTGTGTGTGTGTGTGTGTGTGTGTGTATGCATGCATGCATGCATGTATGTATGTATGTATGTATGTATGTATGTATATATTAAACTGAGCTCTGAAAGTCAACAGGCCACAGTGCACCTATCAACCATTCATATGTCTGCTAGCCATTGCCATCAACCTCTCCATCTCCAACAGGAACAGCGTCATGACCTGACCCCGGGTTCTTAAAGACTACTCACTGTGAGTTATCTTCTACTTTCTGTCTGTAGATGGCTGCCAGATTTCCAATTTCCAGGGAATAGGCTGACCCTGGAAAGGGAACGTCAAGGTTAACAGATGTGGCAGAGCCTTGCCTACGCAGACACACACGACAGAGACCATTCCTCCAGGCTTAGGGGTTGCGAGGACTGCTTCAAATCTGTTGTGGATTTGTTTCAAAAAGGGCAGTTTCCAGAAACTAGCTATTAATGATGATTTCAGGTCTCGCTGAGAATAAGCAAGAGAGTAAAACAAGCGGGGCTCCCCGAGTTAAAAACTTCTGTGATACAGCCAAGAGGCTGGGCATGGCAAGCCCATTGATCAAGGCCGACCGGATCAATCTCAGGCTGTGCTCACACACTGTGGACTCAGCATCTCTTTTGCAGCCAATAATTGTTTGACTTCAGGCAAGGGAAAAGTTGGCAGTTGAAAAAGCTGGCATGGTCTGGAGAGATCATTTGAAAATGCCTGCGTGTATCACCAGGGCTACTATTTCATGGCAACCGACGGACTCCAAAGGCTAAGCAAGGGCAGGTACCTTGTTTCCCTCCCTGTGGGCTGCTGGGCTCGGAGCTCACTTTCCTCTCTGTCTTCTCAGCCGTCTGAGCCGTGTTAAAGGAACCATACCGAGCCAGCCTCTGTTTGGCACACGCTCGAATCTGGCCATACGTTTCTTTCTTCCATTCCGGTAAGACAGATGCAGAGACATCCAATAGCTCTTCGTCTAGAGAGAGAGAAACAGAACTGCAGTGTTGTTCTCAGCACCAGTCTTCCATCTTTTTAAGAGATGGTTTTGAGGGGACGGGGAGCTGGCTCAGTGGTTGAGATCACGGGCCGTTCTTCCGGAGAACTCAGATTCACTTCTCACCACACACGGCAACTCACAACTGTCTGTAACTCGAGTTCCAGGGGATCTGACATCTCCACACAGACATACACGAGGGAAAACACCAATGCCCATGAAATAAAAAGAAAAAAAAATAAAAGAG